AAAGTCGTCTTAGACGGTTTGAATAAAAGGTTGGAGAGAGCAAAAGGCAGATGAGCTGAGGAGCTCCCTCATGTTTCATGGGCATACCGCACTACACCTCGGCGATCAACTAAAGAAACGCCTTTTTCCTTGGCCTATAGCATAGAGGCAGTAATCCCACTGGAGGTAGGCCTTTCTATTATTAAAAATGAAAATTTTGACCCAAACTTGCCACAAAGTTGGAACTCGACCTTGTGGAAGAAAGAAGAGAAAGAGCACTAGTTCACATTGCCTCATACCAGCAAGAGTTATCTAGAAAATATAACAAAACAGTGCATCCGAGGCAATTCAAGATTGGAGATTGGGTATTGCGCAATGTAATGGGCAACACTTTGGTACCCGGAGATGGCAAGTTAGGACCTAATTGGGAACGACCATACAAAGTGGTTGGTTTAGCAGGAAAATGGGCATATCACTTGGAAGATGGAGACAACAAAGCTATTCTCGGGCCATGGAACATTGCCAATCTCAAACTATTTTATTTTTAGCCTTTTCCTAAAATACTTGTAATTTTTCTTTTTTCAAATAAAGCAAGTAGTTTTTCTAGCATAATTCTTTCTACTGTAAAAGTTGTTCTTAGTCATTGTCAGCTAGGGGCAATCAAGAAGGTTGACAGGTTTGACCAACATTCAGTCCTCTTCTTCAGCCGAGATAAGGATCTAGGCTGAAGAAGATTGGCAAGTTTGACCAACATTTAGTTCTCTTCAGCCGAGATAAGGATCTAGGCTGAAGAAGGTTGGCAGGTTTGACCAACACGTTTTTTTTTCTTCAGCCGAGATAAGGATCTAGGCTGAAGAAGGTTGGCAGGTTTGACCAACACGTTTTTTTTTCTTCAGCCGAGATAAGGATCTAGGCTGAAGAAGGTTGGCAGGTTTGACCAACACGTTTTTTTTTCTTCAGCCGAGATAAGGATCTAGGCTGAAGAAGGTTGGCAGGTTTGACCAACACGTTTTTTTTTCTTCAGCCGAGATAAGGATCTAGGCTGAAGAAGGTTGGCAGGTTTGACCAACACGTTTTTTTTTCTTCAGCCGAGATAAGGATCTAGGCTGAAGAAGGTTGGCAGGTTTGACCAACACGTTTTTTTTTCTTCAGCCGAGATAAGGATCTAGGCTGAAGAAGGTTGGCAGGTTTGACCAACACGTTTTTTTTTCTTCAGCCGAGATAAGGATCTAGGCTGAAGAAGGTTGGCAGGTTTGACCAACACGTTTTTTTTTCTTCAGCCGAGATAAGGATCTAGGCTGAAGAAGGTTGGCAGGTTTGACCAACACGTTTTTTTTTCTTCAGCCGAGATAAGGATCTAGGCTGAAGAAGGTTGGCAGGTTTGACCAACACGTTTTTTTTTCTTCAGCCGAGATAAGGATCTAGGCTGAAGAAGGTTGGCAGGTTTGACCAACACGTTTTTTTTTCTTCAGCCGAGATAAGGATCTAGGCTGAAGAAGGTTGGCAGGTTTGACCAACACGTTTTTTTTTCTTCAGCCGAGATAAGGATCTAGGCTGAAGAAGGTTGGCAGGATTGACCAACACTTTTTTTTCTTCAACCGACATAAGGATCTAGACTGAAGAAGGTTGGCAGGATTGACCAACATTTTTTCTTCTTCAGTCGAAATAAGGATCTAGGCTGAAGAAGGTTGGCAGGATTGACCAACACTTTTTTTTCTTCAACCGACATAAGGATCTAGACTGAAGAAGGTTGGCAGGATTGACCAACATTTTTTCTTCTTCAGTCGAAATAAGGATCTAGGCTGAAGAAGGTTAGCACGATTGACCAACACTTTTTCTTCTTTAGCCAAGATAACGATCTAGGTTGAAGAAGGTTGGCTAGCTTGACCAAACATCTTTTTATTCTGTAACCGAGATAAGGATCTAGACTGAAGAAGGTTAACTGGTTTAACCAACATCTACCTAAATACCTAAAGTTATTGTTTGAGCGAGATAAATTATCTCGGCCAAACAAAGGTGGCCAAGATAAGGAAAAGTCGAGCTAAGTTAGGCTGATTAAACTTATAGAAAATTGGTGCAACTAATGGAAAAGTACACTACAAACCGAACAAAGAGACGCTCAAAATGAGAAATTTGATTTCATTCACTTGAAATCAAGTACAAGAGGAGGGACATGCAGCTTGGTTACATTTTTTCAAAAGAAAAAGAAAAATCAAGCAAACAAATCATCTAGGTCAGTGTCCAAGTCGACCCGGACTTTGCCCAATGGTAGGTCAGCTACAGCATCAGCCCCCTAGTTAGGCTTGGTCACAGACACTTCATGCAAGGCTTGGCTGGAGTCCACAGGAGTAGGAGAGACAGATTGGCAGCCAATCTGAGAACCAGAAACAGTATATGGAGCAGGGACCTCATCCTCCTCCCCCTCTTGAAGGAACTTTTGTTGGACCGCGTTAGCATAGTCTGCCATATATCCCGGTATGAAGTGGAGAGGGGGATTCTGGGTCCGTAGCCAAGCTTTTCAACAGCGGCCTTCCAACCGCACTTAAAGAAAATATCCTTTGTTACTTCACATTGTTGGACATAAGTCTCCTCTCTCTCCTTGAAGCCCCGGTCCTCTGCGTCCTATAGATTCTTCTTTACCTCCTCCAACTCAGCATTCTTCTTCCTCTCCAGCTTCGCCAACTCCCGCAGATAGCGGTCTTTTTTCTCAGCCAATGCTTTTTGTTTGTCAACCTCTGCCGTGCTGACCAGTTCGGCTAGCCTTGCATTTTCATTTTCTAGCTCGGCTGCCTTGGCATCTGCATCAGCAACGGCTGACCGCGCCGTCCTTCGCAGCTTTATGAGCCCAACTCTTCTGCAAGGCCTGCACAATATTTAGAACGGTTATAGAAAAACCAAAGCATTGAGGCTATCTCGGTATCATTTGTTGGAATATAAGGATTTTGGGACTTACCAGTATCATCGACTTAGACGCTGAGCGAATGGCCTACAGCTCAGTCAGGCCCTCGTGCCGCTCTATGTTAGAAGTCAGACAGACACTCTTCGCCAAATTGAAGGCCAGAAGATGATCCTTCTTGGCACTAACAGAGTTAGAGGCTGTTATTGCATGACCCCTGAAGGTGACAGATGGTGCCCACACCGGTGGTGTGGGAGGATTTGAAGGGCTAGGTCGGTCGGGACCTTGGGAGTGAGTTGTTTCTTTAAGCCCGGTTTCGAATGGCTCGGTGTCATCCTCATCACTCAGGCATTGTGTACGTGGTCTCTTGTTTGGCCGAGATGACGAAGCTCGGGTTGTAGGGAGGGCCACCACAGCTTCGTGTGTCTGACCGGCTTGTGGTGCCTCAGTTTGAACTTCGGCAGATGGAGTTGTGGTTTGTTCGGTGATCAGTGCACGAACAGCACAACACTTGGCCATTTCTTGTTCTTCAGTGAGGGGAATAAGGTTGATTTGGGACAAGTTTGAGTCTAATTCAGGTGATGGATCGAGGAGAAAATCAGTCACCCTGGTCTTCTTCTTTCCGTTATACCGGTAGGTCGGTTCGAAGTTAAGCAGCTCGGTCCAACCACGATGACGGTATCGGAGCGCGGCGCGAAAAGCGTCTTGGTTGGTGTATGTTTAATGTGATTTAAACTGGTTTAAGTCTACACAAAAGAAAGACGAAACGGTTAGCATGGTGTAAAATTATAGCCTGGAACAGCAAAGCAAAAATAGAAAATTGAACCGAGGTATTCTTGCCGGCAGTTCCTTATTCCAGTTTATTTTATAGCCTGGTATTTGGGCTTCCTGATCTTCAAAATTGCCCAAAACCCAGAAGAAATCATTATCGTTTAAGTCTTTATCCGGTGTATTTTTTATGATTTTATCTCAGCCTCTTTTTACCCTTAAATAGTACACCCAACTGTCGTCATTTTGGCCGAGCGAATATTGGTGAAAAATCTCGGCCAATCCGAGCTTGAGGCCGAGCCGGCAGTTTAGCTTTGCGATGCCATTTATTATTCTATAAGTGTTGGTGTTGAGTTGGGTTGGGCATAATCTTTTCTGCCTGAGGAACTCGCATATGAGTGGCTGTACAGGGAATCGTAGACCGGCCTCTACAATTGATATTATGGTGAAAAGAACGAAGCTCGGTTTTCCCCAGGGCGTGATATGTAGTTCGGCTAAAAAGAGATGGACGTCGTCGGGGATATTGTAATCCTTACGAAACTCGGCAATGGCCCCAGGCGAGTTTACTAGGAACCGGTATTTTCCCATTTAAATTAAATTTTGTATACAAATTAGCATGGAAGCCTAGCTCAGTGTTGAGGTGGCGTTGGATGGCTCGGTTGAGCAATGGCGCTAAGGGGGCAAAGTGCAAAGGTGTGACTGGCCAACCTAGTCAAGTCTGCAAAGTGGAGATAAAAAGTGTTATGCCCAGATCACTGGATCGGGCTAACCAAGAAAGGCAGAATAAACATAACCCTAGATCGGCTAAATGGGTTACAACACGTTCTTAGTTCGGTCATAACACAAGTTTTAGTTCGGTTATTGAGCACGAAGGTTCTTAGATTGGTCAAAACACAAGGTGGGCTCAAGGGTTTAGCTCGGTTATTGAGCGAGGTCTCCTAGTTCGGTCGTGTGCAAACCTATCACAAACAGGTTCCTAACTCGGCCATGGTATTATTTTGGATCAAAGGCTCGCATTCCAGATTGATTGAAAATCTAGCTGAAATTGAACTTTAACGTGTTTACATCTGTTTTCTTTTGTTCTGAATTTGGCAGGGTGGTAAATACATAAATATTTTATTATTTTGGATGATTTAAATAAATATATTTTTTGACTTTTTATGAAAAGATGTGTAAAAAAATATAGAAGTGATGTGACTCAAATAAATATACTTATTTAAATAAGTGCACTTATATTCATCGTGCCAAACCAATAGAGAGATATGGAGTAATATGCTGCTTTTGTTTTGGGCTTGTTGCTTTTTACTTTTCTGCTTTGCTAACATAATTTATGCTATAGTTATAAATAAATGTAACAAAAGTCTTTCGCTTCATACACAAAACAAAAATCCTATGTACATCTCTGTTTCATATATCCAGAATTCTATAGTTATAGCTAGTAGTATATTGGCTTCATATACACTTTGGCTTTTCAGTTTGCCTTTTGGAAATTTGGATACTTCGGCCTTGTTTGGTTTGGTTTTGAGAAACAAATTTTAAATTTTTCAAAATTTTGTTTGGTTTAGTGATTTTGGAAAAAAAATTTCAAAATCACTTTCTATCTCTTACACATCAATCAATTACTTTTTCTCTTTCTTCTCTCCTTCTCAATCACTTTTTCTCTTACACACATCTACTCAACTATAACAAAATATCAAATTATCCTAAACTCTCATACTCTAAAACTATTTTTAAAATATACAATCAAACAAATCAAAAAAATTTCTAAACTTCTTTTTCAAAAATATTTTTGAAAATTTATCTCTCAAAATCAAACCAAACAAGGCCTTTTTTCTTGTTTTTTCTACTGCAATCTCAAATGAAATCAAATTTGTGGATCCTGACATTTTTTTAATGTTATGACTGATATGCTGTGTTATTGTGCTTTAGGATGATGAGTGACTATGCTGTGCAGCCAATAAATGATGGGATTAGTGAATTCAATGTGGAATTCCATGGTCCAAAAGAAAGTAATGTTTCTAGTCTTTCCATGCTGTAGTCTTATTTAAATATGACCCTTAACAATTGTTCCCACAGGTTTTTTACGAATTCAAAATTTGAATGGTTATTAGGTTGAGTTAGATAACAATGGCCTTTGGCTGTATTTCGACTCAACAAACCTTAATGACAATATAATTTGTTTTTGTAGGTGTTGCTGAGAGAATAGTTGATATGATTGCGCAAGTAATATTGGAAGCTAAATTGAGATTGTTTTTTTATTTTTTATTTTTTTTTTGAGGACTTGAATTTGTTAGTACTTTGTATAAATACATTTAAGGATGGTTGATAGATATTTGTTTTGCATGTATGGAAGTTTATATTTTGTATGCAAATTTTTTTTTTTTTTCCCTGAAGAAAAAGAATATTATTAAGGGAAGAGATGAAAAATAATGCATGAATGTTAGAATTTTTACAAACAACTCTTTACATTTATTGTATGTAGTCACAAATTATTTGCGATAGGAAAATGCTAGAGGTCCCAAATTTTCTACCAAATAAATGACCAAATGTCTCACATGGGTGTGGGATCCACAAAATTGCGGATCCCACACCCATGTGAGACATTTGGTCATTTATTTGGTAGAAAATTTGGGACCTCTAGCATTTTCCTATCGCAAATAATTTGTGACTACTGTATTGCGGTCGCAAAAGTATTTTCCACCCCACATTTGCATTCCTTATTTGCCGTTACATGATCGTCGCAAAAGATTTTTTGTGACTGCATTTTTGTTATTTGTGGCAGCATCCAGCAGTCACAAAAAAAGATTTTTTTTAGTTGTGAGTTCGCTACATATTGAATCTATTAGTGTGTGTTTGGTAACGTTTACGTTTTCAGTTTATATTTACAAAAATTTTATAAACTGGTTTTTGTTTATTTTTTATTTATTTTTAGAAAAACATAAACTACAAACGCGTTTGGTAATTGACAAAATATTTAAAAAAATTTAAAAATATAAAAAAGAGTGAGAAATGGCAAGTGGTGGCAAGTGGCGGCGGAAGACGGTGGTGGAAAGTGGTGACGGTGGGTGGTGGGTAGCGGGTGGTGGTGGGTGGTGGCGGGTAGGTGGTGGTGGT